CGCCCACTGCCTGCAAGTAGCACCCCTACCCCCAGCTATGACTACCAAAAATGACTGCTGAGGTTGTTGTTAGGTGCCCTCGGGTTGATTTCAACTCACAGCAACCCTATAGCACAGAGTAGAACTAGGGTTTCCAAGGAGCGGCTGGTGGAATTGAACTGCTGACCTTTTGGTTAGTAGCCGAGCTCTTAACCACTATGCCACCAGGGCTCCAAAAATGACCGCAGACATTGTGAAATGTCTCCAATGTGGGGAGAATGCCTTGTGTGAGAACCATAGGTCTATAGGGATTTGGTGGTTTATAAAGGAGGTAAAAAGAAGAGGCTAATCTGAGGCCATGTGGACCACCCAGACCTAGCAATTAGTACCGTGGGTTGAACAGAGCTGCAAGCTAGAATGCCGGAGAAGGAGGAAGGCTGGAGGGCTGTGAAGCTGATAGCAACGTCATGAAGTCCCAAGGCCGGTGCAAGGCCAGTGCTGGGCTAACCAGCAATAGACAAAGGAGCAGAGGAGGGGTTGAAAGATGGCAAAGCAAGGCCCTTGGGGAAAAGTGAGGAATTTTTTTATACTTCCCAGAGTACTTTTATGCACATTATCTTACTGGGTCCCTAAATGTCCATGCGAGGAGGAGAGGGGCAGATACAACTCTGCTCATTTTTCAGATGATGAAACTAAGACCTAGAAAGAGTGTTCATTAGCCTCTGAGTTCCTAGGTCTCTCAGCCCATTGTCAGCCCTTTGAATATCATCAGTAAAGGAGGTTAGATAATCCCGAATCTAGGGCTTCCAGATTAAAATTCTGAAGGCCATGATCAAGGATTCTTAACTCCTGATGGCCGTCCAACAAGAAACAGCTGTCACTTGCAGGTGAGGAATTTTGTTTTGAAAATTTCATTTAAGGAAGCATTTCTGGGTGAGCCTTGTCAGACAAAGAATGTATGATTGAAGGATCTTGAGGAACATCCTCTTCTGGCACTTCTGAATAGGAGAAACTTACTTCATTGGAATGGTTTCAAGTCACGGAGAGAGGGCAGGAGGATAAACCAGAGGGGACGTGGAGTTTCTCCCTGCCCGGTGATTCTTTGCAGCAAAAAATGGGGGAGAGAAAAGTCAGGAGTGAGGGGCAGAAGGTCATTGGACTTGGGAATCTAGATTCATCCTCAGCACATTGAGAAAGGGGCCAGTTCTCAGTGACCCAGCCTCCCCTTTCTGCACATTTTTCCCTTCACGGATACTGAAACCCTTGTTTAGAAAGATTACTATCAATCCTTTACACGTACAGTGAAAGTCACAATGCCTCTGCTTGAACAAGGGAAAGCAGTGTTTCACACACACACACACACAAATTGCAGGCCTGTGCAGCAACCACACAGATGCCACATGGCACACACACACAAATCACAGGCCTGTGCAGCAACCACATAGATGCCACATGGTCCAGCCCCCTCCCCAGCCCCAAGAACCCTAAGTTAGTCCTCATTGCAGACTGATCACCCAATGAACAGATTCACAGAGATCTCACTCACACCAGCATTCCGATTGGAACTTAGTCCATTATTAGAATTTAATGGCCATCCTTGTTCATGTGTTTACAATGTGATAACGTTTTCACGACCATGCTTGCATTTTTTGGAGTGCCTTTCTTCTGGAGAAGCTCAAGGAATGTTCCATATGGGCTTTGTAATTTTTCAGTTATATATTTTAACAACTCTTTAGTGAAATCAAAGCAAAATCATCAAAAAAAGAAAAAGAAAAAACTTAACCCTCTCCATCCAAAAACCTAAACCAGTGTCGCAATACAACAATGGTCTCTCCTATCCTTAATATTGTACAGATACAATTTTTCATAACTGTGATCAATGTACCCATATTATTTTAAGGTTTTATTTTACTTAATATTACTTAATCTGGATTTTTTTTTTTTTTTTTTAAATGTCCCTACCTCATTTACAGAGCCCTGGTGGAACAGTGGTTAAGCATTCGGCCACTAACCAAAAGGTTGGCAGTTTGAATCCACCAGCCACTCCTTGGCAACCCTAAAGGGCACTTCTGTTCTGTCCTATGGGGTCGCAACGAGTTGGAATCGACTCGACGACAAAGGTTTTTGGTTTTTTTTACCCCATGTACATATTTTTATGACACTGCGATATTCAGTTTTTTACCATACCAGATTATTTAACCAAACCACCACTGTTTGATCATGATATTCTTTCACTAGGAGAGAAAAATCTCAGTGGGAGTAGTATAGTTATCTCACAGTACTTTGCTTATTCATTCATTCATTTGGTGAGCAGCTACTGAGCACTTGCTTCTGCAGACACTGTGCCAGCCCCTAGGCTCCCCCTGTGAAAAGCAATTACATACAAATTCTGGGATCCAGAGCACGGAACTATGGCTAAAGAGACAGATGCTGGCTCCAGTATGACTGATGTGGCTTCAAAGATGGAACAGTCTGCCTTGGGAGGTGGTGAGTTCCTCTCACCAGAAGAGATGAAGCAGAGGTCCAAGTGTGTATTGGAGACTCTGTAGAGGAGATCTGAGAGTTGCAAATGGGATTAGACCACATAGCAGCTGAAAGGGCCTCTTGAGCCTGAGATTCTAGGATTCCAGTTCCACAAGCTCCTATATTAACAAAATGGTGCCCACCTGGCATCTCTTTTCCCCTCCTGTAGCATGGCCCTCCAGGTCATCTTCTCTACTCTTCTCTCCACAGCAACTTACCTAGAAGCAAATCTGCTACATTAATTATTCTATATTCTCAGCACCACACAGTCCAAGCTGGTCCTCCCCAGGCCCACACCGCCAACTTCTGCCCCTGGGTCCTTCAGAACCCTGATGCCTTTTGTTTTCTCACATTCGTTGAATCATAGGCTTGTCCCCAGTAGTTTCAAGTCTTCTTTTTTCTCAAGTTTTCCACACCTACTACCTTACTCTTACCAGGTCTGCCATTCTGCCTACCAAGGAAAATGAAGTTCTCTTTAATCGTCCCTCTCTCTATCTAGGTAGACACTGCTAGTTACCTACTCAATATGGCACCTCCCCTTCTTTCTCATTTAATAGAACTCCAGTTTAGGTTAGGGTGACTAAGGCCCAGCTAAAATATCTACTTTCCCAGGCTCTGGTAAAGTTAAAGGCTGCCCAGGTAAAGGTGTGGACAATGAGATACAAACAGAGTTCACTGCCAAAGCTATTGTTCCCCCAGTCACATAACTTTTCCTTTCATTCTTCCCCTTTCTTCCTGCTTGAAGTGCAGACAAAAAGCCTAGAGGGGCAGCAGCCATCTTGGAAGCATGAGAAAGATATTAAGGGTGATGGAGCAGAAAGATGGAAGGATCTTGAGACCTCAACAGCATCTTACTGCTGCCATACTGGCATTGGACTGCCTACTTCCTAAATACCTATTTAATATAGCCACAATAGTCAATTTTCTGCTACTTGCAGCCAAAAGCAATCCTAACCGACACACCACTGCAACATTTCTTTTTTATTTTTTCCTAAATTTTCTTTATTGGATTTGTTGTTGTTGGAAACATACACGGCAAAACATACACCAATTCAACAGTTTCTATGTGTACAGTTTAATAACATTGATTATGTTCTTCAAGCTGTGCAACCATTCTCACCCTCCTTTTCTGAGTTGTTTCTCCCTCATTAACATAAACTCACTGTCCTCTAAGGTCCCTATCGAATCTTTCAAGTTCACTGCAACATTTCTTTATGTCTTCACCTCCTCTCTTCCTTTGCTCATATCTCTGAGGCAGAGGCATCCCTCCAGCTTTTTGAGGGCCACTATATATGCATTCTTGATCACACCCCTCTCCTGCCTCTTCATAGGCAATGTTTTTATGCTTATGCTCTTTCTTATTTGTATCTTCAATTTCTGCCTCTGTTCTCGCTCTTTTTATATCTACTAATGAACCTGGTGGCGCAGTAGTTAAGCACTCTGCTGCTAACCGAAAGGTTGGTGGTTATAACCCACCAGCTCTTCCACAGGTGAAAGATGTAGCAGTCTACTTCCATAAAGATTTACAGCCTTGGAAACCCTATGGGGCAGTTCTACTCTATCCTATGGGGTCGCTATGAGTCGGAATTGACTTGACAGCAACGGGAATGAACCTGCTAGGATCTCTCTAGCCTAAAAAGACCCTTTCCAATACCCAGCTGATAAACTCTCTTCCTCTTCTTCCCTTTACCACCAGACTCCTTAACAGAGTTGTCTACACCTACTCACTCCTCAGTCTCTTTCAAGCTAGCTTTCACACCCACAACTGTGGAATCAGCAGTAAGTTCAACCATGACCTCCTAATTAGCAAGTCACACAGCCTTTTCTCTGTCTCCATCTTTCTCCAGCTTTCAGCATATGACACTTCTGATCACCTTTCTTTTTTAATTTTTTTAAAAGTATAAACACGTTACAGAAATTTTGGAGAAAAAATATGTTAAATTATAGACCAAAATGAATATTAGACTACACCCATCTATTTTCTTTCCTTACCTAAACTCCACAAAACTGTAATAAAGATTTTTTTTGGGGGGGACAGGAAGTTCAATTTATTGGTGGGCAACATAGAGACAGGAAGTTCAATTTATTGGTGGGCACAGGTCAGGTGGGACAGTGCTACCAAGGCCCTCATGAATGCAGGGCCTGCCACTTGTTCAAGGGGCCATGATTGGAGATGTATTTGACTCAGTAACCATTTGGGATGAGGCACTTGTCAGCCACTATATCTTCAAACTCATCAGCATTAAACTTGGTGACATCTTACTTCTTGGAGATGAGGACCTTCTGGCACCCAGGGAACCTGAAGTTGGCCCTGTATAGGGCCTTAATCACAGGCTCCTTGTTTTGAAGCTTGGTGCAGATGGATATGATTACTTGTCGGATGTGGACCCTGGCCACTGCACCCTGGGGTTTTTCAAAGGCACATTGCATACCCATCTGGAGCCTAGATTAGGGACAGCAGAAATTAGCAAGTTCAGAGACATGAAAGAGCAGGAAAGGGCTCTCTCCAGTGTCCCTTAGAGAACTCGTACATGCAACAGGCTGCATACACCACCGAGAAGGCTGCTGTTTGCAGCCATTGGACATTGGCCCCTACAGGGAGGGAGGACAGTTGGCTTAATTTGGCTGCAGAACAAAGAATTTTTTTTGTAAAGAATACACCCCTTCCCAAAAACAAAAGGAATATATCCAAAGGATAAAGGGAATGAGAGAGGAAACCATTTGTGGCTGCCATGAGCATGCTCAGACCTCCAACTATGGGAGTGTAATTGACCAAGGGCTCCAGGGGCTGGACTCTGAAATCCAGCTAAAATCCACAGCTGAGTTTGGGTCTGGGTCATGCTGCCTGGGGCTGCTCCCAGTCCATGGCTGAGCATTCGCAGGGAAACTAAGGCAGGCCTCTCCTGGAACACATAGGATTCCCCCAATAATCAACTTCGGCTTAAGAACAGCCTTGCTGAACTTCCCTTAGACTACAACATGGTCTAGGATACTTCTATCCAACCTTCCTTCCCTCTCTCCTTCACTAACGCCTCAGGCCATCACTCTCCCAGTCTTTTCTGGTTCCCTCACCATTTTCTCTCAAACAGGCACTTCTCTAATAAAATCCTTGCACATCAGGCTTTTGGAGGACCCAGACTAATACACTATTTCAGATGAAAGATTTCAACAAATATTTGGAAGATAAAAAGCAAATGGAGGAACAGTAACTGATTTAGCTGAGGGACCAGAAGGCCCTGTAGAAATGAATGCTGTCAAGTATCAAGCTAACTTGAGTAGAAGATCCAGAACATCTTAGGAACTTGGAGACACAAGTTACTCAGAAGGTGGGGGTACAGTGTGGAGCTGAAAGTCTGTATATGGAGAGGTTAGAACACCAGATCCTCTCCCTTACCCTGCTCACCATTCACCCACTCCAACTCAAGACCAAGAGTTATTCTCTGCAGAAGCTTCAGATTTGGAGACAGTAGGTGTGGTGGGAGGGGAACAACTGAGAAATAGGATTTAAAAATAGGCTGATTACTAGAAAACTACCTTCTGGGTGGTTGGACTCCTCCTAGGCCCACCCATATCATGCCTCTGGAAAACAGGCAGCCAGGTCTGTATCTCCAGACAGAAGAATGGAACAGTTTTCTCTGGGGTTATTGAATAACCCCTGAGCAGGGACCCAAAGACCTCTATATACCAACATACAGAGATCTCGTCAATGAAAAAGCCAGCTCATCTACCAGTCACCCTGCTCTGATGCTCACTTGCAAATGGAGAGAATCAGATCACCTTTAGGGCCGAATTTGCAATGAAGTGTGAGGGTTAGCAATGAAGTGTGAGGGTAGATTGACATGAAGTATGGAAATATATACATTCTTACATATATATATGTATGCATAGTTTTTGCTGAAGATAATTCAAAAGCAGTTGCACCATTACATCAACAAGGAACTGCTAGAAATTCAAGCCAGATTCAGAAGACGACATGGAATGAGGGATATCATTGTTGATGTCAGATGGATCTTGGCTGAAGGCAGAAAATGCCAGCAAGATGTTTACCTGTGTTTTATTGACTATCAAAGGCACTTGACTGTGGATCATAACAAATTATGGGTAACACTGTGAAGAATGGAATTCCAGAACACTTAATTGTGCTCAAGAGGAACCTGTACACAGATCAAGAGGCGTTCAAACAGAACAAAGGGATATCACGTGGTTTAAAATCAGGTAAGGTATGCATCAGGGTTGTATCATTTCATCATACTTATTCAGTCTGTATGCTGAGCAAACAATCTGAGAAACTGGAATATATGAAGAAGAATGTGGCATCAGGGGTGGTGGAAAACTCATTAACAACCTGAGATATGCTGATGGCACAAACTTACTTGCTAAAAGTGAAGAAGACTTGAAGCACTTACTGATGAAGGTCAAAGACTACAGCCTTCAGTATGGATTACACCTGAACATAAAGAAAACGAAAATCCTCACAACTGGACCAAGAAGCAACATCATGATAAATGGAGAAAATATTGAAGCTGTCAAGGATTTCATTTTACTGGGACCCACAATCATTGTCCACGGAAAGAGCAGTCAATAAATCAAATGACGTATTGTACTGGGCAAATCTGCTACAGAAGACCTCTTTAAAGCGCTAAATAGCAAAGATGTCACTTTGAGGACTAAGATGCAGCTGACCTAAGCCATGGTGTTTTCAATCGCCTCATACTCATAGGAAAGCTGGACGATGAATAAGGAAGACGGAAGAAGAATGGATGCCTTTGAATTATGGTGTTGGCAAAGAATATTGAATATACCATGGACTGCCAGAAGAAGGAACAAGTCTGTCTTGGAAGAAGTACAGCCAGAATGCTCCTTAGAAGTGACGACAGCAAGACTTCTTCTAACGTACTTTGAACATGTTCAGGAGGGACCAGTTCCTGAAGAAGGACATCATGCTTGGTAAAGTAGAGGGTCAGCAAAAAAGAGGAAGACCCTCAACGAGATGGACTGACACAGTGGTGGCAACAATGGGCTCAAGCATAACAACGATTGTGGGGATGGTGCAGGGCCGAGTGGTGTTTTTTTCTGTTGTACACAGAGTCCGTACGAGTTGGAACCAACTCAACGGCACCTAACAACAACAACAATGTAGGTATTCCCGAGATGCTGTCCTGAGCCCGCCTCTCTTCTCTTCCAATATTAGCTCCCTGGGTTTCATCTCTCACTCTGGAACAGTGTGTTTCAGAGGGTGCATTGAGGCTCCTTCCCCCTTAAAAATCCCTTGGGACACTTTAAATTCCACACTTTCTGTCCTGATGCCCAGTGTAGGGAAGCAGAATCGCCCAAGGTGGGCCCTGAGAATCTGCCTTTAATCCCAAAAGTGATTCTTAAAGTTTGACAACCACTCATGGAGAATTCCTAAAATTGTGCCTGCTGTTTCAGTGTTTCTCTCCCTCTGCACAAGGGCAGTTCAGCTGCCTCCTGGATCTCCATCCAGCTGTCACCTCAAACTCCACACCTCTGAAATGACATGCGTCACTTCTGTCACTCCCATCTCTCACAGGTACCCTCAGCACTGCTGCTAATCAGCTCCTGATGAAGTCCCATTGCTGAAATCAGGAGAACCATTCTCCCAGTCTCGGGGCTCCACGTGCACCATTCAGTACAGACTGTTATTTCTAAACTATTCTTTGAAGGAGATCCCCCTTTTGATAAAGACCTTGAAAGACCCCACACGATGGCCAGAAGGCATAATTCAGTGTGACAGATACGATCAGCAGCAGGCCGAAGGGCATGCATCTTTAATAGAGTGGGTATCCAAAGAAAACCATGTCTCCCTGTGGCCTGAGAGCAGGACCTCTGTGCCTGGGGAACTTGACGGGAGAGGGCCACTGCGTCCACACAGAGTACCAGAAGACAAACATTTGCTTCACTCTCTAGGGCTCTAGTCCCTGAGTTCTGAATACATCTGAGAGTAAGTCACAGGATCAGCTCATGAGAGAATCTTCCTGTGGGGACCCTTTTCCCTCTAGGGGGCCTTCATCAGAAGCTCTAGCTACAGGTAAGACCCCAGCCACTCCATCATAAGTCGGTTCTGAGGAATACCATGTTTCTTTAAGTTTTCATTACTATTGCCTTTTATTATCAGTATCTTTATAAATCTGATCCCTATTTGTCTTTGGGAGTTGGAAACATTACATCTAAACTTATAGATACATTTTAATACATACATTAAAAGAACCCAAATCATAGAAATTTACTGCCATGGTGAAGAAGGGTTGGACAATGTCGGCATATTGTCAGTTGCAGTAATAATTTCACTTGTGGAAGGTTCTGGATCATCTGGATTACCCCTGGGAATGAGGATGGCATTTCTAGTCAGAAAATCAGCGAGAGTTGTCTGTATGGTCCTTTTCTTTTTTTCTTCATATATTTTGTGGTAACACATCACTGCTTCCCGAATCTGCCTGTCGACGTTCACAGAGCAATCAGCATTTAGGCCCATGCTTTCAAGCAACTGAAGCCACTGATTTAGTTTAGAAAAAACTCCAGCTAATCCTTTCACTGTAAAATTTTTTGACAACTTCTCTCCCTCCTCTTCCTCATTATTTCTTTCGTCTTCAACATTTCTTTCCTCTGCTATACGGCAGTGTTTTGAACAATAAATCATAAAAGGGAATATCTGCGAGTGAACATCTGAGAGTGATAACATCAGCAAATTATGTGCTGCAATGCTGTATGTAGTACATGTTACTAACTGTAAGAGGTACAAAGAAAATAAAAAGCAAAAACGGCGGGTCATAAGTGCGGTTCGTCGTAACTTGAAGACGTAGTAAGTTGGGGACTACCAGTACTCAGCGTCCTCACAACACCCTAGGTATTCAGAATTCATTTTGAAAATACTCAGATGAAGATATAGTGAACTCAATGTGTTGCCCCACCCTAGGCAGTATTTTCATTTTCAAAAAGGAACCTGCAGAAGGTAATTCTTAACCCAAAGAAATACATTGACAATGTTGGGATATCCAGTCCTTGAGTATCTACATCAAGGGATGAAGGGGAGAAGAGAGATACAGATGATCCTTCTATCACCTCCAAATCTATAAATTAGTCTGCTACATGGATGCTAAGGTCAGCTCTGGCTTCCAGGTCCTGGAGGGATTCTTGGCCATAAAATCCAGGTGCCAGAAAGTATGTGAATAAATCAGTGTTCTCAAAGTGCATTCCTAAGAAGCACCAGTTCTGCACATACTGTCACCCTCTTGGAGATTCAGAAAGCATATTAAAAGTTCTGAGAAGTTCTCTGGTAAAAAGCCTTGTTTACCATTTTTTAACCCATTTTCCCCCCAACATTTCTTGAGCTTGGATACCTTTTTCCTAAATACTACCAACTGGCATGGCAGGGAACCAGTATCCTGCGGAACACACTTTGATTAATTCAACACCAATTTTTAAAAATAAAATCCTGTTTCAGAAATTTTTCTCTCCTTCCTTGTGTTGGCTGTATCTAGTATTTTGGCTTGATGTTTGATTTCTAACCCAAGGTAGAAATTTACCAGGAGGTCTTGCCTAAAACGAAGAGAATGCTTGGTGAATTATTTAGCAAAATGCGGCTTCTCTAAAAAGAAGAATAGCGTGGTTCT